GTCATAAGGCTACGCCGCGCTCCTTCCCGCGGCTGTGATTCGGCTGAAGAAAGGCGAGTGCTTTTAATCATTTAATGTCTTTAAATCAACAAAATATGTTTAGAGAAGCGTGTATGAAACTGTGAAATTAATTATTAACCAATGTAACACTTTAATGCAAAAAAAGTGCGTCTCATTTCGTTCGCTGGCTAGTAGTGATGAGAAACGGAGCTTTGCGAAACTCCGAGTCAACTGAATCAAATGCATCGCTAAATGATTCACTGTTTTGAATCGCTCGAATCAGCGCAAACTGACGACTTCTGCTGCTCTAAACAGTGTAAATGCAACGAGAACAACAAACACAAACTTGTGTAACGACTACTTTTACAAACCAACTGCAGGCGTTTTCATTAAAGTGGAATCTAATGATTTGTAGATTATATATATAATTAAATCATAATACAAATGCGAAACTTTGTGTATTTTGTGTCTTTCTGTTTGTTTGAATGCTAGTTTTGGTTGTTTTTTGTCTCATCAAGTCCATTACATATCTCTCTGACTGACTCCCTCACCAGTGTGCTGACTACTGAACTAGGGATCTGATTTGAGACACACCCAGAGATTTAGTTTGCACTTATTTTTCTTTCTGCTAATTATTCTCATCTTAAACAGGACAAAGTGTCCAAACACACAGAAAAACTCCACGTGACACTATTATAAAGATGGAGAGTGAAGACATGAAGATTGAAGAAACATTCAGAGTCAAACATGAAGATACTGAGACACAAACAGGTTGGTTTTCATTCTCAAAGCTGAACTCACTCATTTGATCCTGCTGATAGCAGTAAATGTTCATTATGATACGCAATAAATAGTCACATGTCAGAAACACCAGCCTACTTAAACATTTCTCCAGCGCACACAGCTTGGTAGAGTCACTGCATGCGGTTTATGTTTGTAATTCATTTAAAGATCTTTGGTAAATAATATAAAAAATAGTGGCCAGTAACTTTATATGAACTGCAGCATAATAAAATCAAATTGTTCCAAGTTTTGAGCGACACAAACCGTTGATATCAAAGACCTAAGTAGTGCACTAAAGGAAACACCTGTTGTGATTTTCATCAGAAGTTGATCTAGGATGAGAGTTTCTTCTCCTGAACTCGTGTAGCAGCGGCTCTAATGCTGCGTTCAAGTCCTCCTGGGACGTTCGTACGTACGAGTTGACAAGTTGTAATTACGACGTCAGGTGCGTTCAAGTCAGTTTAGTCGGCACAAGATGGCGGTGTACCTTCTTTGAATAAATTACAAGAAAATACAACAGGGTCTGTTAACTCTTATAGAAAATGAAGAGCAAAGAATTCGCATCAGGTGTGTTTTGCGTTTTTAATATTTTTAAAACATGCAACATGGCAAATCAAAAGATTTTTCGCCTATAGGTGCAAAAATGATAGCATTTTTTAACTTGGATTTCATTAACTAGCTGCGTAACAAGAACATGACCAATTTAAGTTTATAGGACAACTAAACTATCAATTTAAACAAAAATGTACCGTCAACTACAGACGTTGCATCCATCGATTCCGCCATGTTTCTCATTGACACGCCCCCAACTCGGAAACTCGGGGCTTAAAGAAAATTTTGAGTTTCCCACTCATAATAACGACTTTGTGGTGGCGTTCATGTGCGTTCAACTCGTAAATACGATCTATCCGACATGACTTGAACGCACCATTAACTCGTTTAACACTCCTGATTCAGATAACCAGTTCGTTAGAAGAGAGCTCCATGAATGAACTGTGTTCCGATTGACATCATGTTCCCTACATAGTGTTCACCGCTCTCTACTTCCCGCTCACGGGAAATCGGCTGAAGTTTACTTCACTTAAAAACACAGATTTGCGCGACACTACTGTCTGCAGCGTCACCACACACATGAGATTTGCATAGAAGTCACGTCTCGTGCACTTTAATACCCTTTGAATGGAACATATAGCCTACGCTCCTTTCAAACTGGAATTATGGCAGAATATCCTGTGATGTCCACTTCGCAGGACACTTACGGTCGATTGGAACAAACCCCTGAAGCGGTAAGAGAAACATACAAGGGCACTAAAGGGATAGTTCACCCAAAAATGTAAATTCTGTCATTACCCTTACGAAAATTAACCATAGTTTTATTGTAGTAACCATGTTTTTTTTTTGGTGTATTGATTACCATTTGTATAGCCACAGTTTTACTACAAATACCATGGTTAAACTACGGTTAGTGTAGCAAAACTATGGTTCATTTGTGGTTATCACGGTTTAACTATTGTAAACATGTTTTTTTTTGGTTTTATTTGTGGTAAAACCATGGTTAATTTTCGTAAGGGTAATTACTCACCCTCGTGTCGTTCCAAACCCGTAAGACCTTCGTTCATCTTCGGAACACAAATTAAGATATTTTTGATGAAATCCGAGAGCTCTCAGACCCTCCATAGACAGCAACGCAACTGAAATGTTCCCAGGTCCAGAAACGTAGTAAGGACATCGGTAAAACAGTCCATGTGACATCAGTGGCTCAACTTCAGTTTTGCGAAGCTACGAGAATACTTTTTGTGCGCAAAGAAAGAAAAAACTTGCTATGTTTCCGGGTCTGGGAACGTTTCAGTTGCGTTGCTGTCTATGGAGGGTCGGAAAGCTCTCGGATTTTATCAAAAATATCTTAATTAGTGTTCCGAAGATGAACAAAGGTCTTACGAATTTGGAACAACATGAGGGTGAGTAAATAATGACAGAATTTTCATTTTTGTGTGAACTATCCCTTTAAGAGACAACTTAAATGTGAAGAGCACACTCTCGATGGACCTTAAGTAAAAAATGTTTACCTAGATACTGAGACGAACTCATATATGATGCTGTTTGTTACTTATAAGGCAGGGGTGTCAAACTCATTTTAGGTTGGAGATCAGATGTGCCGTATATACTTTTACACTGTCAGTTACATTAACATACATTAATATTAACCATACAAAGTCTAGTGTTAATTTTGTCAGGTATTATTAAATTTATTCTTAGGTGAAAGAAGGCTATGATTATTAAAAAATAAAATAAAATCTGTGAATGCAACAACCATGATCTTAATTGTAAAAAATAAAGTAATGGTACATCTATCCATGGGTGGAGTTTTTTTGGACGTTGTTCTTTTGGCTTGTCTTGTCTCTATGCCGCTGAAAGATCTAATAGCGCTAGAATAGTGATGCAACTTTAATAAGCAAAATTACTGAGCTATAATGGGGCTTACATTTTAATAGAAATTAACAAAAACTGCTATTCTACAAAGCTGAACCTATTGAGAGGACACTGTTTCTAATATTTGACATAAATCACTGAATCCTGAGTCCTCTAGCATGAATATTTGATGAGGGGTTTGAAAACTGCTGTAATATTTAATGTAATATTTTTGAGTTATAGGATTTTTTTTATATATATATAAAACAGCAATGTTGAATAGAGGTTGAATTAAGTCATTTATTTTTATGGTAAGGAACACAATTATATTAAAACACAATTAAGCCTTTAGAAACTCTATTAGAAGTTTAGAATTATCTTGAGCCGTTACACATAAATTTAGCCAATGCATGTGCTGAAATTGAGTAGCAAATATGACAAAGTCAGCAGAGCTCTCACAAAAGCTATAGAGAATAAATAGTTTTATTACATTAGAAAGTCTAAAGACCTATTCGGCGGATGGGGCTAATTTTCTAAATTATATTTGAGTTGCAGGTCGTATCACTGCATGTGACATGCAGTGACATTATCATATGCATGTGATTACACGTATCGATTCAGACCGGACTAACATCTCCATGTTTATTACAGAGATAGGAGGTCTGTTTTAGGGCTGCATGATAAATCAGTAATATTGCACTGGCGATAATATCGCAGCTGCGATAAGTCATGCGCATCTTGTCAGTGAAGCATGGTTCTGTGATTAGTAGTAAATCTCCATCCGAAGGCCAGAGGGTGCTCTCACGCAGAAGAAACCCAGGAAAGCCTATAGCGGTAGCAGAATAAACAGAAGATTGAACTGCTTTTATTGATTCAACGTGACTAATAAACACACGACTACGGCAATATATGGTTTATCTGAGTTCCTATTATAATTATTATTATAATTTTCATTATAATGAAGTATATAAGAAGCCACATCATCTCACAGAAGGATTTATTTCAAACACTCGACTGACGTTATGAAGTGAGTTTGGAGTAAAAACATGTTATTAAATGTGGTATTTTCACATGCTTTCAGATGGAGCAGCATTTACTACATGGAGCCGTAGTTCACTGAGAAGCTATGCAAACAGCTTTCATTATCACAGTGCGATTTCACAATATCAATGTATAATATTGATGATATCGTCTGCGATATTTTTTTTGCGTAGCTTGTCAGTGAACTACGGCTCTGTGTAG